GAGAGCATTCGGCCTGGAATGAGGGTGAAGGTGGTCGGAGAGGGATTGGAGGAATCCTGTGGAGTTATTCAATCTATTGCCGAGAGAAGAGGTGTCGCCAGTGTCCAGTTCTCCGATGATGAATTCTGTTTTGGACCCAATAAAACTCTGGACGTCCCGCTTTCCCGTCTACTCCCGCCCCAAAAAGAAATGCTCCCGTTGAACCAGCTACAAGTGGGCACCGAGCTCTGCAGTGCCGTGTGTGCCGTTCTCAAGACCACGCCCCCTTCAATAAGCCACGCCCACTCCAGTACGGACGCCAGCAATGCCTCGTTGGGTCTGTGTCGATTGTTTGCAGAGATGAGATCCCGGGTGTGCATGGCTCTGCTGTGCCACGTTCAGCAATCTCCGGAGTTTCTTAGACAGTTTCTGGGCTCTTGCTGTGTGGAGGACCTCAGGAACCAGCTCACTAGTGACCCAGGTGAGGGAGGAGGGGAGCGGAGAGAAAGGAAAGAGGGGGAAGAGAAAGACAAGTCATAGTTTGTACACTACACACTTCTGTCAGGGTTTCGATGCGTAAGATCCACCCCTTGAAGCACGATGCACTTGAATCAGTTGCATTCTCAACACCAACTTACTAGTACGTAATGGTCTGAATTGGTGCTAATTCAGGAGCTCTCTTTCTTTTGTTGCAGGTCTGCGGCTCTCAGTGGTGGAGTCCCACTGTCTGTCTCTGAGGATGCTCTACAGAGACTGTGCCAGACCCCCAGCACCTCGCATTGAGAGACCCCGCTCCGAGGTCACTCTCTCTCCCTTCTCTTCCTCTCTTTTCCTGTGTGCCTTGCATATTGTATGGTCATGAATAGTTTGATGCACTCCTCTCCTCCTCTTCCTCTCGTACTGCTACGTTTTCTCCCATATGTCTCAGCCGAAGGTGATCAGTCTGGACGTGACTCGAGAGTGGCCGCTCGTCTCGTTCTGTGCCTTCAGCCACAATCTCACGTCCCTGTCCTACCAGGGACCGTCCAGCGCAGTCCTCCCCCCCTCCTCCTCGGCCGCAGCGTCAGGGGAGGGGTCAGCGGAGGTCGCAGCTCAACCAAAGGGAGTCATGTTGTTTGCCAACACCTCCATTCCTGACTACGTAAGTCTCTCTGGATTCTTACATACAGTGGAACTGAGCTGTATTGTACATAACTCTCCCTCCTCGACAGGCCCCATCGTTCTACTGGGAGGTGGAGATGGGTCACATCGGAGACAGCTCGTCTGACACCGCCCAGGTTGCCATGGGTTACTCTCCGCCCCCTGAGAAACCGGCGAGCGGACAACCTTGGAGCTATCCCGTTGACGCCGTCTTCATTAGAAGGTTTGAGTCTCTCTCTCTGACTCAATGTTGGGTGGCAATAGACACACACTATTTAACCCTTTGTGTCCACACACAGTTAATCCTACTGTGTGTCATCAGTCTGTTTGTCCATTCCAGCTCTAATGACAACATCATCTGTTTCGTACATTACCAAAGTCCTATACAGCTTTTGACTTGTGTTCTTTTTGCTCGAAAGTTATGGCATGCACTAATTCAGCTTTCGCCACCCTCGGCTAGTTTACAAGGATTTGTCAAAAGAATGATAAATGTCCTCCCCCCTCTTATTTCTCTCTCCTCCTTGTCTCCCTGCAGCTCAGGGCGAGGGTGTCAGGTGAGGGGAGACAACCTCATGGAGTGGGTCACGGCTCGTCTGGCGGCCCCTCTCAAGAGCGGCGATGTGGTGGGGTGTGGGTGGGTGAGGGAGGAGGAGGGAAGCAAGGGAAACGTCTATTTCACCCTCAACGGTCAGAGAACCGAAAACAGCTTTACTGACGCTCCTCCTGAAATGATCCCATTCCTACACATCCAGAAGAAGGTACGTATGTACGCATGAACATGTGAGTTAGTTTTAATGAAATTTTGTATGTTTGGAGTGTCGTGTGTAGAATTTTTAAATCCACAAAAAATGTTACTAGAGATTTATTTTTGAACCAATTTTTCTCCCACTGGAATTGATAAGAGAGTACATTTTTAAAGGCTTTTCTGTTAAACGGAGTGAGATTGTGTGACTGTACACACAGGCAGTTCGCGTGAGAGTCAATTTTGGAGACCGTCCGTTTGTTTACGGAGAAGGCCACGCCCACAGGAATGCAGCCGATGTGCAGAAGGGAGACTCGGCCGAGGAGATGGCTGCTGCATTCCTGGAGCTCCCATTTTCAGAGGAGACGAGTGAGGGAGAGGAAGAGGGGGAGGAGGGGGGAGGGGGAGGAGAGGGAGGAGAGGGGGAGGGGGATGAGGGAACAATTGTTGATCTCTCTCAAGCTGGACCCCAGACCAAGATGATGAAAACGGCCATTGCTACAGTCGGTGAGTCACTTTCAGTTTCAACATCCACGAAATTACTCACATTTTCATTGTTTTGACTGTTGCCTAGGTTACGATGCAGCTGCCTCGCAGACCTACCAGCTGGGGAGTTGCTATGACAACATGTTGGAATGTGGTCCGTTGGTCCGTCCAGGAGGTAGTGGGCAGGAGGAGCTCTCAGAGGAAGAAGCTACCTCCACACCTCAGGTACACACACTGCAGTGTAAGCAGCTGGAAATTTTGACGAGTTGACGAATATTTTATGTCTCAAGTTGAAATAATTGCGAAATATATAATTGGTGTTAATGGTTGTACAGGAGGAAGACCTGCATGCGCTGCTGGTGAAGGCCTGGGAGACAAAGGTCTTCCCCGTCATCCAGAGAAGGTTCCGGAACGACCAGGAGAGGAAGTCGGGTCTGGAGCAGATCAAGGGGGCCCTCCAGCTGGGCATGGAGGGCATCGCCCAGGAGACCGTGGAGTTTCTGTACGAGGAGAACGGAGGGGCACCCAAGGATCTCCACCTGCCCACCATGGACGACGTGAAAGCTGACCTGGGGAAGTTCACCATCAGCAAGGTGAGTGTTGGCCTACGAAGTATAGTATAGCTGGAAATTTTGATGGTTTGGCAGGAATGAGGAGTTACCACAATACCGTACGTAGTAGTGTGCCAGCATCAACACGAGAGAGTGTACGTATATGATAGCTTTGTGATTCACTACTTGAATACATGCAGTCTTTTTCATATTAGTGTGGGAAGTACTGGATATGGGATGATCAGTAGAGTGAGAGTTCCGTGTGTTTCTTACTTCTTTCTACACAGGTGCACAAGTCAATGGCAGTGGTGGTGCAGAAAGACTTGCCATACATTCGCTGCGGAGTTCGCTCCATGCAAAAGACACAGGGCCTCACCGGAATAGTTCTCGACATTGACGAGGTGGATAGAGTTTAACACCCCTCCATTCCCCTGGTGTTTTAACTCTTTTCTCTGCCATAGTCCAACGAACTGGTACAGGTAGAGTGCTACCTGCAGAGCGAGGGGGCCCTGGTCAGATTTTGGTTCCCCGTGGTCTACTTGGAGAAGCCTCCCCCGGGGTACCGGAAATCCCCCACACTCCGGGGGGCTGATGCAGCCAATATCATGGTCTACAGAGAGCTGCTGCAGTGTGAGGTTTTCCTCTGCTCCATGTACTGTCGACGGGCCCTTCTCTCTCTTGGGCTACCTGCTTCACCTGCAGTTGAACCTGCTCTGGACCACCTACAGGTATGTACACACATCTACCCAGTGAACACACGTTCCACGAAAATATCGCACAAATACTGCCCGTACATTGCAAGCAAAGTCTAAGTACTGTAGATGGAAGTGGTACAGTTACAGTTGTTTTCAAGAGGCGTCCACACTTCAGTTCTTAAACAACGTTGATCAATCTTGTTGCACCTCAGAAACACCGAGCCTCATTATATTGACACAAGTAATTGATGCACATTGGTCAATGTTATGTACCGCTCCTCTCCTCTGCAGCTGGTGGCAGCTGACAGTCTCTCAGAGCCACTGAGTGAGGGAGGAACCACCAGCACCAGTCCCGACCTGGCCCCCTCCCCCCTCGCCTGCACCTCACACCTCACCTCCTCTCCCCTCTCCCTCTTCTACTCACAGCCTTCACGAGTCCTCTCTGAGCTCTCCGCCATTCTACACAACTTCCCACTGGTACATACACACACTAAATATTTGTTACTTCCTCAATTTCCATAATACACCTACAGTTTTTTACATTACTGTACAAACTTACAATCAGTCAGGTTCTTTAGTCAGGAGAAGAGAGCCCCCTCTCTATTCTAAAAAAAGCCTATTTTCTTGCCCCCTCACCACATTTACAATTAATTTTACGCCTGAAACTTATAGAAGATTACAAAATGTCTCTCATTTAGAAATTTCTCCCACCCACCCAGGAGGTTGAGGGAGTGGCAGCGAGACTGTGCCAGGTCCTGACCGCCGCTCCCCAGGGGTTCGCCAGCGCCGAGGTGAAGGTGGCAGAGTCACGGGAGGCTCTCGATGTCGGCCACTCAGACGCCGCCTTCCTTCTCCTCGACTGCCGCGACGACAAGGGAGCCCAGTCTCCTCCAAGGTACATACATACATCTGTGTATACATTAATACTGTGGGGATCAGATGCAAAATAAACTGTTTAGCTGGCAATATTATGGCGTTCAGGGTTGGATTTAATCAACCAACAACAGTATAATGGCTGCATACTGACAAATATGATCAGGTCACATTATGTGTTTCAGAGTACCAATTCTCTGAGCTCAAAACTGTATTAGTTGTGAGTACGTGCATATTCCAGTCAATGATGATGCAATGTCAGTGTACAGTTTTTTTGGCTATTTCAGAGACAATTTGTGTGTTGATGTGGGTGTTCCTTATTCCAGTGCAACGTTCAAGTACCCGTGGGCCCGGGGACTGTGCTACAAGGGAGGCCTCGGGAAGAACGGCCAGCAGCAGCTCCAGGAGGTGGTACGCTACCCCAGTGAGGTAACCAACCAATACTGCGGCCCCACCTACCCCTCTCGCGTCCTCCCGTTCTGCCGAATACACCTCAAGACAGGCGGGTGCTCCGTACGTCCGCTGAAGAAACTTCACATCCTCTCGGTCCCCGCCGATCTCCCTCTCGCACTCGCCTTTGCCGACTCTCTTTGCTCCCACTCTCTCGGGGTGTACGGGGAGAACCCTGCCTCATTGGCCACCCTCCACGCCACACAGGCCCTCTCCTCAACTCTGGAGGGGTTGACGCGATTCCTCGCTCGACTGGAGATGCCTCAGACACTCAAGGAGCCATCTCTCCACTTGTTATCCCAGATTCTCCGGACCCTGTGTAGCGTGGCCCCCTCCTCTTTCTCCCCCTCTCCTCTCTCGGCCGACCTTCTCCAGGGTCTCAAACAAGAGCGGTCGGGCTCTACGAGCAAGAAGTCGCACGTTTCTCGAAAGCCAAGAACAAGACGAGTTACCCGCCACCCGGCAGCATCTCAGAGGGAGGCCAGGGCAAGTTCTCCACTTACTTTCAGGCTTTGCTAGAGGCCCTCCTTGCCACGGGGGCCTACAGCTGCAAGTTTCATGGAGTTGACTCTGACGCGCCATTCGTTCCTTCCTCCTCCTCTTCATCTTCCACCTCATCATCTGTTTCAACTTCCTCCCCTTCTTCTACTTCTACTTCGTCATCATCATCTTCTGGAGGCCTCGCGACTCCCTCTCACCCGGACTCTGCCGGGGCTGTCGCTATGGCAGCTCCTGCAGCGCCGAGCAAGAAGAGCGGAATGCGTCGTTTTCGTGGACGAGTCCCGCGTGGTGCCACCAAGAAAGACCCGGGCGAATCGGACAAGAAGAAGAAAGACGAGTGGCTTGCAGTCGTCCGAAACGCCTCCCTCGTTCTAACGTCCCTTACTCCTCTCGCTAGTGCCAGTGAATCTTCAACTATCAGTCTACACCAAAGCCACTGTGGAGTGGCACTGACGGGCTCTCTCCCGATACACCCTGCGTCTAGACTAGTGGTCGTAACAGGTATACGTTCCGACCTCTCGGTGACTGAGACTAGAGATAGACTCCACCGAGCGTGTCGATCCTTCGGAGGTCTTCACATGGACCAGCTCCATCTCCCTGTGAGGAGTGTGTCATCTCCAGACAAGGAGAGAGGAGGGGGGGAGAGAATTCCGCCATCTTCCGCCCGGGACTGCCAACCATCTGCTCAGCAAACGACAGAGAATTCCCCGTCATCTCAAGACGATTTACCTCCAGAGGATTCTTCGGCCCAGGAACTAGTTGGACATGCTGTTCTCGAACTGAACTGCAGTTTCAACACTTCGGCAGTGTGTGATTCGATTCTCAATCTGCCGTTCTTCCTGAGAGGTGGCAGAGGGGAGGGTGAAGGGAGAGAGACAAGCCTTGCAGCCATGGCGGTGAGCAGCTCGCTGGCAGTGGGGGAAGATGACGCCGGGACCAAGGCTCTGGAAGAATATCTCAGACTCTGTCTTACTGAAAGAGAAGGAGAGAAGGAGGAGGAGAAGGAGGAGGAGGAGGAGGAGAAGGAGGAGGAGGAGGAGGAGAAACACTTGTCAGTTCAGCTACGGAAGTTCTCAAGTGTGTGTTTGAGTCGGGGAAGAAGGAGAGAGCGGCTGAAACAGACACTGGTACTGGTGGAATGCTCTCTCTATTCCTGACTGGGTTTGGGGGTGGAAAGGGGGCTGGTGATAGTGTTTGGAGAGACATTGAGAGTGGTATCAACAGAGGGAGCAAGGGGGAGAAGGGGATGAGAGTGAGCTGTGAGGAGTTCCTGCAGTGGTGTGCCCTGCAGGCTACGAGGAACCCGAGACAGCTGTGGCTGGGACTGTTTGCCTGTGGCTACGACCTCCACTTCACAAGGTATGTAGGGAGTCCATGTTACAAGTCACTATTTTACTGGCCTAAAGTTGAATATAAACCCAGTTTAGAGCAAGGTTTCAACACAATGTTCATTTACTAAATGTGACACTTTACTTGATTTAGTCTACCTCTCTATCTGAAGGTGTGGGTATGAGTCCAGTGCTGTCCCAGCTCACCAGGCCACTGTGGCACAGGACGCAGCTCTAGTCCTACACGTGGACTCTCTCTGTCGGCACTACTCAGTCAGCTCCTCCTCGCTCCAGCCATGGGACCTCTTCCTGAGCGAGTCGTCTCTCTCCGACCCTCGCCTCGCTCCCCTCCAGGGGGTGTCGCTAGCCGACCTTCGTCTGAGACTGCTGCAGCTGAAATATATCAACCACCAGCTGGCGCTACTTCTCCCTGTGATTGACCTTTGCCCCCGGTACCCTCTTTCTCTCGGAGGCCGGCTCTCTCGCCTGGCTCCGCTACTGTTCTACGACGTCAAGATGTCATTTCTTCACGCCGTGCTGAATGCCTCGACCAGACGTTCGCTGGACCAGGCACCGCCGGAGATTAAGATGGACCCTCTTGAATCACTGGCTGGTGAGTTAATGAGAGAAACAGGGGGAACAATTTTAATTCATGCAAAATTTCGCGCAGAAATAATTATTCGTATTACAATTTCACATTGACCTCGCAAGCATGGTTTGTGAAGTTTTGTTCCATAGTGTCATTTGGCATAGCACGATACAAAGATGTTTAGATAGCTATATCTGAAAATATGTCATACTTACAAATGTACGTGCAAAAATCAATGGTGTCATTTGGCATAGCATTGCATTTGTTGTGGTATTGTTACTGCTGTGTGTGTGTGTGGGTACAGGTGTGGCAGGAGTTCCATTGGAGACTCAGTTCTGTAAGGCTGCAGGTCAGATGTTGTCTGTCCCCTCGCCGCAGCTCTGCGTCCCTCTCGCCAGCGGGGGAGACCCCACATACGCCTTCAACGTCAAACTCGCCGGAGAAGAAGTCCACGGAACAAGTAAGACTGCCAGGAGAATTCTTCACACGATGCCATCTGTCCCTCTCTCTCTCTCTCCTCCCCATTGCAGGCGGTTCATTCAGACACTTTGTGTGGCAGGCAGTGAGGGAACTCCAGTCCAGTATCCTCCCCATCCTCCTCCCATGTCCCAGCGGAGCCACTGGCCTCAACTCTGTCAGTACCACACATCACATGGTCTTGTGTCTTCACAGTATATATACGTACCTGATGCTGTGCTAAACAAACACCTCTAATTTTTGACTGCCATCAGTGAAAGATTCACTTCTTTAATCGCCTCTCCCTCATTCCCCGTGCAGGGTAAGTATATCCTGTACCCAGGACCAATGGCGTACTCCGAAGAGAAACTCCTCCTGTTCTTCGGACAACTGGTGGGCGTGGCCATCCGGGCCGACGTTCCCATGACGCTGGACCTCCTCCCATGTTTCTGGAAGAGTCTGAAGGGGACGCCCCTGTCCTTAGCGGACTTGAGAGACACCGACTGCATCACGTATCATCTCACAGAAAAAATGCTCTCTGTACGTTCGGAATCATGTGCAATTGTTTTCAAGACGGCATACTTTTTCTACTGCACCGCATGACAGTGTGTGAACGTGTATCATTTGCCACAGCGTGTTTAGGGTTCAATGTCATTTTCAGCATATATACTACAAAGAATGTTGTGTTTCAAAAGTGTGTTTGAGATTCATTTCTTCTACTGATACGTTTGCATGTGTACATATATACCTAACCAAACTGTCTTTGTAAGTGCTCTATAATGTGACCCTCTCTTGTTCGCTCTCCCTCACAGTGTTCAACAATAGAGGAATTTGACGAGCTGTTGTCGGGTCTGGTGAGACACACCAGTCAGGGACAGGAGGGAGAAGTGGGCCGGACAGGGGGCATGGTCTACCACACCCACCAACAGTCGCAGCAGCAGCAGCAAGGGGTGCAGTTTGTCTACCACACAATGACGGGGGAAGAGGTTGAACTGTGTCCAGAAGGCCACTACAAATCTCTTACGTAAGTGTATCAATTATTTTGGTGGTGCTATTTTTTGAGGGTCCATTTTTTGCCGGTACTACCTACAATTTTGCCTGTTAAACCGCGAATTCCTCAAATTCTGAAGGTTTGAGAACAGACGAGAGTTTGTTGATGCGGTGCGGGAGTTGCGACTGAGAGAGATGTCATGTGACCACCGCATGACCAGCGTGAGGTGTGGCCTCGCCTCCGTGGTTCCCCTACAACTGCTCAATATCTTGACCCCCACGGACCTTGACCTCCGAGTCTGCGGCATCCCAGACATAAACCTGGACTACCTCAAAGTGAGCCGTCCTTGTTTACAAACATGTAAACAACTTGTTTGTTGTCAGAACATCTGTTTTGGAGATTGTGTTGTGGGAAGAACATTTGTGAATCAATAATGAGAAAAAGCTAGAGCTTGATTGTGAGCACTAGTCAATAAAAAAAACTGTATGTTTTCTCTACTCCAGAGACACACAAAGTACCACGTGGGGTTGGAGGAGACTGACAAACATGTCCAGTTCTTTTGGAACACTCTGGAGAGCTTCTCACAGGTATAGAGAGAGGAGGGAGGAGAGAGGGAAGGGTATACACTTGGCACAATGGTGCGAGAAGTGGGAGGAAGGGGGGGTGAGGGGAGACGAAGGAGAAAGGGAGGGCACAGTTGTGTTATCACATTGTCAGCAACCACTGTCCCAACACAGGAGGAACTGCGGAAGTTCATAAAGTTTGCCTGCAACCAGGAGAGGATCCCGTTTGGCAACCCATGCAGAGAGGGGGGTCGGGACACGGCTATGAACGTTCCTCCATACCCCATGAAGATCGCTCCTCCTGATGGGACCGGTGAGCAGTGGCCACCCCCCTGCGATGTAGTAGCTCACTGTAGCTACCGAGCAGTGGTTGATGTACATAATATGGTGCTTTGTAATAAATGTACTCAACTAATCATCACAGTATATACCTACTATTTCTGTTGAGCATTACACTATGATTTGGTATTGAACGAACCCTCTGCAGGTCCTACAGACAGCCGCTACGTAAGAGCAGAGACGTGTATGTTCCTGCTGAAGCTGCCACAGTACTCGACACAGGAGATCATGACCAGCAGACTGCGATATGCCATACACTGCATGGAGGACCCCCTCAGTGGCTGAGGCAGTGGCGGTACATTGCCTCACTGAGATGTATTGTATCACACTCTGTGTATTAGTCAAATCACATATCGCACTCTCTGTAATAATTAATATTGCATCATGATAGGGTTTATTCAATTGGTCTAGTGTACTATTTAATATGACGTCATGACATGATGTGGGGTCAGTGAGTGACAAACTAGAGAAGTCTTCCGCGACAGTTGGGTGCCTTGCAGCGGCAGTAAATGACCTTTCGCTCCACAGACCCTACTTCGTAACTATAGTCCCACGTTAGCTCCTGCAGTGCCTTGATACGACTGAGATACGTGGAGGGAGGAAAGGGAGAGAGAAAAAATGGAGCAGGGGAGGAGAGGGAGAGAGAGAAAAGGCAAACTAGTTTTGTGTCTGTGTGTAGGAAGTATACTCACTTTCTTGCAAAGAAGGCCACCCACGGAAACCGCAGATCGTGCGTATCGACAAACACGTTTTGAACAAACATGTTTGGAGAGCAGCTATGCTGGAAGAAAGAGAGGGAGAATTGAAGAGGGCTAACTGAAGGAAGCAGCTGGAACATACGTTGATATAGCGACCAATGTTGCCCCTCTCCTTAGCATCAATTATGTAGCTGAAGTCCTCCCTGAAATGCTGGCGAGTCCTGATTCCATGCTGCTGGTGTGGGGATATTGGAACCACATAATCTTGTGGTGATCTGATTCTTTGCTCGTTTTGCAGACGGGACGACCGCTTTGATGATGCAGTGGGAGCGGTTTGTAGAGCATGAGTTGGCCTGTTTTTGGGTCCTGGAGATGTCCTGTCTGATGATCGATGTCCAATTGGTGGATGGGACAACCCATAGAGTATGGGTGTAGTTACTGACATTGTAAAGTTTGATGGTGTGTCATCTGTTGGTGGGTGTGGCTCAGAATGGGGCGGGGCAAGTGGGGAGTGGATGGGAGAGATGACAGTGGAACTACACAAACTGCAGGACAAGTATATACATCTCTCACTTCAGCAATATCAATTATCAACCGCCAATATTAATTTAGCAGCTAGTTCACTATGCAGTGAACCACTGTAGCCGATATCAAAAGGCTATACTCTGTGAATACTGGTATATGTAGCTCACCTGATGAAGGATAAGGAACTGCTGCTGTCAGAATTGGCATCATCGTCACTGCCACTTGCCCCTGTTCCACCATCTCTTGTCTGGTGAGAAGAAAAATAGGAAGAGGGAGAGAGAGAGAGAGAGAGAAGGGTCAGGTCTACCACACAACATCCCTCTTGCTACGTTCTGGCAGTAAATAAGGGAGAAGCCAAGCGGCATACATGAGAGCTGGCGATGCTGTCGAGAATGAAAGATTCATCCTCACTGCTCATGGTCGTCTCGTGATCAGACGGCATCACCACTTCTTCCTCGTAGCCCTCCTTGTGGTGTTCCATTACCTCTATTAGTGGGAGAGGACTGTCAGTTAGCAAGAGACTGAGAGATTAGGGGTTCAGCAATAATGAGCACAGCACAGGGTCACAGTATTGGCTTATATGGATGGACAGGGAGACGGTGGTAACTAGGGGGAAAGAGCAACTACACACTTACCAATATAGTCCAACTCGGCAAAATACTCGTCACTGATTGGCTGGGGGGAACGAAAATTACATAGTCCCCCTAGTATTGGGGGGGCCCACCAACTCACAGTGGGCACTGAGCCCCCCTGGTTTTCCAGGGTGTGCTCGGGGAAGATTTGACCCACATACGTACAGATGAAACTTCCAGCTGGGATATCTCTCAGTGTACGCAGACCCCACCCCCTGTGCAAGACATAGAGATTTGACTGAGGCAGATTTAACCCTTTACTCACCTGCCACTCTTTTAACCCCATTGCTATTGAGCATCCACTACAGTCAGATTTAACCCTTTCCTCACCTGCCACTCTTTTAACCCCATTGCTATTGACCATCCACTACAGTCAGATTTAACCCTTTCCTCACCTGTCTTCGGTCCGAAACACCTGCAAGTGGTGCTCCACGCCACGCTGCACCACTCTGTTCCGGCACCTCGGCCCGCACGAGCAGTGAGCGTTACACTCGTAGATCGCCGAGTGCTGCGGCCTCTTGAGTCGTCCGTGGGTGTAACCCACCGACTGCTTGTTGGAGGAGATCGTCTGTGCCTCCTGCATGGTGAGACGCCAGCAGTGACAGGTCGAGCGGTTGGCGCAGTGGTCCGCGCAGGAGCAGGAGACGAGAAAGCCGGGGTCCGTCTCGATGTGGACCCCGGGGCCAATCTCTCTGTGATTGATGTAGTGGAAGTGCTCGGGTGGGTCCGATGTGATGGAGTTGACACACTGGGACAATGGGAGGGGGAAGAGACAGCAGGTCAAGGAGTACAGTTTGGAGTTCCAGTTGTGGTCAGAATTAAAACTAAACTAAGGCAGATTGCACAGCTACGTTGTAGATATTTTTTATGACTCAGTCAGTAAGGGAGGCTCAACTCAGGTTAACATTAGTGGATTTGTTCAATCCAAATGTTGATATGTGTGCTTGCTTTTTGGAATTGGAGGAAGAGAAGGAAGAGAGGAGAAAGGCGAACGGGCTACGTAAGCATACGGTGATAGGAATGGCCTCTGGTGTCACACGTAATGTCGGGGATGAAGACTTTGGCACCTGCAGACTGAAAGAGAGATTGCTTCATTCACTCCCCCAAGTCCATGTGACAATAAGACTGTTCCCAGGGAGAAATATACACTTGTTGGTTGGGCTATTGGTAAAAGTTTTATCGACGAAAATTTTCCTACGAACCATTTTTTCTCCCTTCAGCTTTAAGGCATATATATACATACTATATACATGCAGACATATTATACCTTGGCATTGTAGGGTGGGCATACAAGGGAACAGAGAGGGTCAAAGGTGAAATTGGTGATTAATATATTGGACTCAGCCACAGAAGTACTTTCCACTGGTATATATAGGGACAGAAGAAAGTGAGGTAGGGACAGAACAAAGTGATCATTCAAGAACATATTTCTTTGCAGACACTCACAAAATTGATTCACTTCTTCCATCGATCTCTATAGTGAGAACAGACATAATGCATACCAAAAATTTTGTGATACATTCTTTTGAGGCACAAAATTTTAGGTGATTGCACGTATGTACGTATTACGCGAACGATTTAAAAAAATCTATGCTGAAGGTTCTATTTTGCATAGAGTGATTGAGATTAAGCAGCAAAATTTGTGTCTCGATAATTATTAAGAATGAGGCGAGAGTGCTTATGTCTTACCAGTCTCCTGCCACAAGGGGCGGAATAGTATGTGTCAGTCCGATTTCCTTCACTCGGAGGCCGCATCATAAATACTCTACATACACCAGGAGAAAGAGAGCCGTAGAGAGAGGTGTGGGAAGGGCATCGAGAGAGAAGAGATTTGTGTGGCATCCTCACCGCTGCCAGCCGAGGAGGAGGGGGAGAGAGAGGGAACTGAACTTAGATGGGGATTTGACGGTCATTCCCATGGCCCAGCACGCTTCAGAACAATTGTGGGCCACAACTGGTGGGGAGGAGCAAGGAAAGAGGAGGCATAGGGAGTGGGTTATTGCATACACGAGTTCTCGTCTTCATATCTGTAGTAGGTGTGGTCTTGTAGGGCAGGAGGACCCTTCTGGTACTGGGCTCTGTGGGTTTCACAATAAGAGAGAGAGAGAGAGATAGGAGAAAAGAGAAGAAAAGAGAGAAATGCTCACATCACGGTGTCGGCGTACTGGGAAAACTCTTGCTCCTTCTTTACCATCCACTCCTCCGTATTTTTCAGGCTCTCTATCGAGATAAGAAGACAACACCTACACCTTTCAAGTGAACTTTTCGTATTTTTCCCCCCGGACCTCTCCAGTTGCGTAGTAAGACCAGATAGCTCGGGAAGTGCCTGGGGAGAACGAACGGTGTGCGGTGTATGTAGGAGGAAAGGAAGGAACGCTCACTGCCGTTTTATGGCCGCGAACCGCTCGTCCACGAGCTCCACAAGTCCCTCCATGTGCGTGCGCAGACGTAAAGAGGGAGGTGAAAAGGTCACCACCGGATCACGTGCGCTTACGGCGAATTCACGTGCGTAGTAAAAGTTAGCGTAACTGGCTGTGGTGACAACTCGATTCCCCCCGAGCGGTTTTCTGAGCACCCTCCCTCCCTCCTTCTATACCTCCGCCCCAGTTCTCGCTCCGTGCTCGCTCGCCCGTTGGTCCACCGCTCGCAGTAGGGAGAAGGCGCGTCATGTCCGGAGTAACGGCCCAGAGACCGGGGAAGATGAAGGGACGCAGGAGCGACAGGGCAGGGTAAGAAAAAGAGAAGGGGGTTGGGAGACGCACAAATGAATTATATCTCTCTTCTCTAGGGGCGCCCGTGCTAGCAAAACGCCCGCAGGGGACAACTTGGCCCATCTCCTTGCTCCAAATGTAAGAGGAGAGAGAGAGAGAGGGAGAGATAAAATAGGGAGATTACTTTTGTGGTGTAACTCCCCTTTTCTCTCCACGTTACTCAGTCTGGTGGAGTTGGTGTGTTCAACAATCCTCCTTTGGCGCACACACTAGTTTCTCTCATTGTAAGTTATTAGAGCACTGGAGGGAGATAAAGTATGTAGAAGTTAGGAGGGGGGGAAGAGAGAGGGGGGGAAAGAAAGAGACGAGAGAAGAGAGAGAGAGAGTGGAGAGAGAGAGAGAGAGAAATAGAGAGAGAGGGTAGCGTCGATGCCCGAGCAGCGCGCGGTGAAAGACGCGACGCAGAGGGGTGTATGAGAGGGGGAAGAGGGTCCCACATCTCTCTAATATCCAGGGATGTGTGGTGGAGGTACAAATGACGAGCGGAAAAGTGTACGAGGGAATCCTTAGAGCTATTTCTCCTAATATGGAGATCTCTCTCAATGTGGCACACGTGAAGGGTCAGGTGAGCGTCATGTGACCTGTAACCTACCCGTGTCTTGGTCACGTCGGTGATCTTTTACGCGCACTCATGCACACACACACACTCATGCTCGCACTACCAACACACCGTATCGTATGTGTATGTATACAGCCGCCGACTGTTGATACTGTGTACGACAGAAAAGAAGTGTGTTTTGCCGATGTCGTTACCATCTCTGCTAAAACGGGGACGAACCCGCAATTAGGTGAGTGAGGCTCACAACTCGGAATTAGTGTACGTGTTTATCACCTTCCCGTTTCACTCTCCTACTTCGTGTGTTGTATATAATAGACATCTTCAAAACTGATGGTGAAATCAGTGGTCATACAAATGGTCCACAATCCAGAGAACTGCAGGTATATGCATATAATGCTGTATGTATGTGAGGCTATATAGCGAGATATAATGGGTATTCCCTAAATTTAGTGCTTTGATTAAGTAGTACTTTCACTTTGACGAAGTGAGGTAATGAATATTGTTGTCGTTGTCCTGGCAGCCTTTCACAGATTTCAGTGGGGACGGAGTTAATCTGGATGTGATGGGCGGGCCGGAGGTAGGTTCTTGTGGAGGTGGTATATAGGGGAATGATAGCTGTTTTCCCCCCTGATCAGGGTGATGGTTGGAGTGTGGAGGAGATGTTTGCTGTGAATAAGAACAAGGTATGTTATCATGAGAGTAACAGGACCTTGTGGCCAGTTGGTACATTCTGTGCACGCACATTTACACTATGGCAATTTGTAACATCGTTTTATGCCGAGGGTTGCCACTCTTGTATGCGTATTTGGTACACTGTGCAATTTGTAAAGTTGCACAAACATGCGTTCGTTTTATGCCGAGGGTTGCCACTAGCACTCTTCATTATTTGCAATGGATTTTTTGCTCTCTCCTATGTGTTGCGCAGTTTAAAGTTTCGTCGACCTACGACGAGGAATTGCCAGAGTACACGTAAGTCTGTAGTATATATGTCATGCCGGTCTTTAAAAAAACTTGGAAGAGATAAAAATTTTCGACTGATCTGTGATATTTTTACAACTGGATTAGACAGTCCAAAAATTTTTTCTTGTGAAATTTCTGATATATATTGTTGGTATTTGGGTGGTATGTCATTTTCGCTCCTTCGCTCCTTCCTCCTCCTCCCTTCTCCGTACTCCCCAGGACACCACTGGCGAGAGACGTGGAGGGTTACAAGGAGAGAGAGATGGAGGCCATTCAACTTGCCAGCGAGATAGAGTCTAGGAATATGGTGCGCCCACTGTATAGTGTGCATGTGTAGGTATGAGTATGTTGTCGTATCTCCTGTTGCAGCATTCGAGGCATGGTATTGATGACCTAGGATCAGAAGAAGACAGGTATGTATACACAGTGTAATGGAGGTGTGTTAAGATTAGTCATGCATTGTAATGCTCCAAAACTCTCTGCCTGTTGACTTGCTTACCCTGGTTGCTATTAGTCCACTGTTCCTGTCCATATTGTAGATAAACTTTGCTTGTCCGTGTTGTTGTAAGTTTGCTGCACAGTTTGTATGTGGTTCTTATCTCTGTATGACAGATGGAGCTCAGTGTCGAGGGAGCCCGAGAGGTAATGTGCTCATGAATATTCATGAGACCACGCCCATTCACGGAGTTATGTTTGTTGACTCAGGTCTCAGGTGAACTCGCTGGGTTCAGGTCTCGTCGTCAAGGAAAACGGAAGTCAGACTCTCACCTCACACAGCACCCACCCCCAAGCCACACCCACTTCCACAGCTCCGTCTCTAGCTCCGCCCACTTCGTCTCCGTCGCCCTCTCCCCTCGTTCCTCCCTCACCTCAGACAAACAGCACCAGCAGCCTTGCCGATTCTGAGACCACACGCCCCACCCACTTCCTCTCAGTTACCCGGCAACAATGAGACAAACTCATGTGACAGTGTTGTGTCCACTGATGAGGCAGTAGATAATCTTAACAAGGGGAAAACCCCGGAAGTTAGCGGCGAGAGAGTTTCGGAGTTGCCCCAAGCACCTTCTTTAGCAGACACAAAGGTACAATGTATGTGTATGTCTGGGTGTTTTAGGCTATAATGCCAACTATGCTGATTTATTGCCTCAATAGCATAACGAAACAGAAAATGAAGATGTTTCTCTCTGCCTACAGGAGGGGGTGGGGCCAGCTGGAGAGGGTGGTTCCGAGGAGCTGCAGCCAGTGTCTCTACAGTCCACTGCCGGTGAGGAGAGAGAGGGAGGGAAGAAGGACGAGGAGGAGACGGAGGAGGCCCCGCCCCTCGCTGTCCCGGAGCCTGCGAAGGCCGAGAAGGAACAGTGAGTCCATTCTCTGCAGTGAAACATCTGAATAAGGGATGGTATTCTTGTTGGGGTATTAGTATGAAGTGTTTTCTATAATAGAGAAGTCCCCTTTATATCGATGTCTTTTCCCACTGTATATATAGATATAATTATAGTAGTACATAGCCTCTCGTGAATGTCTTCTTGTTCTCTCTCTTGTTCTCTAGAGCGATAAAGAACTTCAAGCTGGATCCCACGGCAAAGGAGTTTGTGTTGAAGGAGTTCGTGCCTTCTCCCCTCACCTCCTCCTCCTCTTTTGCCTCTTCAGCCTCTGCTGTAAGCTGCTTACTCCAACTCCATACCCCTCTTTATCGTTGCCTCTGTCTTTCTTTTCTTGCCCTTTTTTCTCTTCTCTCTTTCATTTTTCTTTCTTCTATTCTCCCCCCCCTCTCGCTGTCCAGGGCTCGCCATCCTCCACCCACACTCACACTCGCACACATCCGCACACTCCCCGCAGCGGCGGGGCCCGTTACCCTGGCAACAACAGTCCCCGCATCCGACCGTCTGCCTCCAGTAACGTCTACACCCACACCTCATTCGCTACTCCAGATATCCACACAGCAGGTACAGCTATTGCTGGTAACTCGATGCCCCCCCTACCCCTCTCTGTTACCATTACTCATACTATAGCGTCAGACTGCAATCGAGGATGCAATAGACCAAGCCTAAGGCCCCTTCACTACATATTGTTCTGAGTGCATAGTGTAGCTGCTGGCTTCTTCAGTTTCTGAAATTCTAGAAAAAGTTGCTTAGTTAGAGGAAGCCTGCTCTTAGTTTTCGGACTCAGCATCTTATCTCTCTCTCTCTCTCCACTCCAGTTTCTTCCAGCTACATGCTGACTCAGCAACCGGCCGGTGGTGGCATGGCGGGCTTACTCAGACCTAGCCTTCACACTGGTGGGAACCTCTCTCCTTCCTCCCTCCTCCTTTCTCCCTCCTCCTGTTGTGTATGATTGGATTTTCATGCCTCTCTCTCGTTTCCTCAGGTTTCTCTCAGTATGGCCTCCCACCTGGTCCTCTGATGGGCATGCCTCAGGTAGTTACGTTGGATGTAATGATGATGTATGTATGTTTAATTTCTGGATCTTCTCAGTTTATTGCCAGTCCACATTCGTCAATGATTGGTATGTTCAGTGATGCTTACAGTTTTCTCCTTCCTTCTGCTCATTTCACTAAACAACCTTTATCTCTTCCCGCTATACTCCTCCCCCTCCTCCCCATCCTCACCCAGGTGGCGCAGCACAGCAGCAGTTTCCCATCATGCAACAACATCAGTTGTTTCAATCCGGTCAAACCGTATGTACACACATACCCATTCAAACAACTTTTGACTCTGCACGAGGCATTTTCGGCAATGCTGGAAAAGTAGCTATACCACAAGATGTACTCTTTCTCCGGAAAAAAACATGTGTTTCCAAATGTTGCCTCCCACTAAAACAAAATTTTTGTGGGAATATCGCCAAAATTTGCAAGTGTGTTCTCCCCCCGTCAGAAGTTTTCTATGTGGTGTATTGTTGTCTGAGAGTGAAAGTATATGGAGTACTTCAGAACTTCCTCATTCCTCCTCTCCCCCCCCCTGCAGATTGTGACTCCGCAAGGCCTGGTGATTCCACACACCCAGCCAGTATTCCCTCTCTCCCCCATGCACCAGTCGCAGATTGTTGCCGCGGTGACCCCCGGGGTACCCATGTGAACCCGCAGCTGATTTGTGGTGACCGGAACTGCCGTTAGCCCTAACACCTGTCTTCTCTCCATATTACTTTGTGATCTAGTGGCGATTTTGCCTTCAAATACGGTGTATGTATGTAACTGCCTAGAAAGTGGCAGATTTTGCGTAATTCCAAGCACCTCTCTCCTCTCTCTCCTCTCTCTCTCTCTCTCTCTCTCTCTCTTTTCTCCGTGTCAAACAGCTGCGTCGGGTCTGCCAGAGGGGTGTGGGGGTGCATATCAGATGCATGGGAGCAGGGAAATGACGGGCCAGTAAGTAAGACCATTTTCCTCACTATATATTTTTCACTAGAGCTGCATTATTGGTGAATTTATCAGTTACATGGTGCAGTTCCTTAAAGTTTGTAACATATTATGGTCATATTCTATAGGGCATGGGAGGGACTCTTTTCCTTGTCTCAGTCGACCATGTTATACAATTATAAGTAAAATTTGTTCCTTCTTGTGGTTCGTGACCTTTTGCTTTATAAACCATGATGCGCAAAATTTGGTAATTTTGGCGACGCTCGTGTTCTCACAATAATAACGTCTCTTTCAGGTTGTTCGATTGTGTCTGGTGAGTGGATGATGGTGGTATGAGTATGTATATTTGGAAATAGGAATTAATAAATATCTAATTTGGGAAATTGTGTTAAATAGGAGTAATATGATGAATGGGGAAAATGGGGCTATAATAATATATCAGTATTACAAGGTCATGTGTAAAATACTCTGTCGACAATAAAAGAGTTTATGCCATTCAACGTCAAGTTGCAAGTAGTAAACTGCACTCACAGAAACAGTTGCAAGATGAGCAAGAGAACAGTTAAACGAGTTCTTGGTGATTCAACCTACTTCGAGGAGTTCTCAGCGCTCCAATAAAAGTCCGTCATGAGCATGCGTTATGAGTTTCGTGCGCAGATATAGTAGCTAGCTAGAGTGTTTTTCGCACTGCCAAGGAGAAGATGACACTTGCAATTGGTCTGGTGGAAGGTCACACGGACCTGGTGGTCCTGGTTATAATGGGAGTCCTGGTTGTGTGTCTGGAGACGGCGTCAGAGAGAGAGAGGCTCTGACGTGACAGAGGTTTACTTCTGCGACGACGAGGACGCTCAGTTACCGTTTTCACCACCCAGCCGTCCCCACCTGGTCATGGTCCTCGGCTGTATCCTGGCCGCAACGCCATATCTTCGGAAACCTCTACCGAGGCGCGTCTACAAGAAACGCCACGAGTGCAAGTCGAAGCGAATCTCGTTCTGCGGCGGCGAAGTGTCGCGTTTCTCCCTGGCTTCTGCGACCCTATTCCAATCCGATGGTTCCTATGAGGTGCCGGAATCACAATAGTACTGAAAGCCACGGCAAGGTGACGGGGGTTCGGTTGCGACCGTCGAAACTTCTTCTCCGTCTGTCGGCCCCGACTTCGGCGCGTTCACTCACGGACGCGTTCGGCAACCAGGTGTACATCACGGACTACAAATTGCATCGGCAGAGGGACGACCTCGTAGAAGACACTGATAGGGTAAAACTGTCTACGAACCTCCACCTCTCTTTTCCTGGGACACGAGACAGCACCATAGGACGCACAAATTCCTTGTGTATCATACTCCGTCTAGTCTTGCCGAGGGTGTTGGGTGAGGAAGCCTTCTACCACGAGCGGGCCTTCGAAATATTCCCTTATGCTCGCCTCCGCTCCTCTCTGGCATACGCATAATGTGTAGTTTGTAAAGTC